AGGCAAATGCAGGGTCCACTTTACTCTTCTGTCAGCTAGGCTGACGCCATGGCACTCTACCCGGGGAAAAAAAGTGAGACTGTGTTAGAAAAAAAAAAAAAAAAAAAGAGTCTGAGTGATCCCCAAACAGATTAAACAAGACTAATCAAGAAAACAATAGATTAAACGACTGATCAAGAAAAAAATAGAGAAGAGAAGGCACAGATTACCAATATCAAAGGCAACGAAAGTAATATCACTATAGATCCTATAGACATTAAAGAGATAGGAGGATATTATAAACAAACACTTTATTCAAATAAATTTGAAAACTTAGATGAAATTGACAGTTTCCTAGAAAGATGTCATTTACCAAAACTAACACCAAAACAAAGAAAAAAAATCTTAATATTTCTATATCTATTAAATAAATTAATCATAATTTTAAAACCTTCCACTAAAAATACCTCTAAGCCCAGGTGGTTTGATTCAGTAGTTCTGGAGTGAGGCCAAGAATTTGCATTTCTGACTAGTTCCCAGGTGATGCTGATACTACTGCTCTAAGTACCACCCTTTGAGAAACACTGGTATAGGCTACTTTCCTAGAATTGCAATTGTCAGCTCAGAAAAGTGTGCACATTTTAAGTTTGAAAATGACATATTTGTGTTCTTCATAAATTTTTTATGACTTTTTATTATTTATCTATAAGAGCTCTTTGCCAAAGACGTTACAGATATTTTCCCCAGTGTGTCATTTATCTTTCAAACTTATCTATAGATATTTGTCTTCCAAAATTTTTGAATTTTTGTGTAGTCGAGAGAGAGTAGAAGTTATAAGTGAAGCAAGGTTAGCCATTAGTTTATGACTGTCAAAACTGGTAATAGGGACATGGCAGTTCAATGTACTTTCTACTGTTTTAGATGTTTAAAATTTTCCATAATAAAAATGTTTTAAACACTCCAGTTTATCAATATTAGAGTTTTAATTTATTATCTAAAATATTTGTTGTTAGGTATTTTGAAGGGTAAATAAAATGATGTTATCTTATACATTTACAGAACCCTGGATATGCAAAAAGTCACATCACAAAATTTTTGTTGTATTGATTTCATATTTTTGTGTGTTTGTTTGAAGTGCTTGAAGCACTTAACATGGAAAAGATGATGTCAGCCATTTCCTGCTGGATGGAAAATCCAAGGCACTCTGTGGTATCAACAGACTGGGGAAATGCTGAGGAAACTCCCATTCTAATCATCGAAGGTTTCCTTCTCTTTAATTATAAGTAAGCATCTTTACTCTAATATTGACTCTGAACGAATGGGAAAAAGACCTTGCGTACTAAATATGCTGTTATTTTAGGCCCCTCGCCACTGTATGGAATAGAAGCTATTTTCTGACCATTCCATATGAAGAATGTAAGAGGAGGAGGAGGTAAGTTTTAAATTTATCTTTGTGGATTGTAATTCAAAAGACTAAATTTAGGAAAAATGAGGAAAGCAACATTATTGAGCAATGTGTATAGCTCACTTTCCAAACAAGGACAACCTTAACTCTTTTATACAAGGAGCAAAACCTTTTTCCATAAATGGTCATCCACTGTTAGCAAATTACTTTTCTAAGAAAAGGGCCTTACATCTAGCTATTTGGCTCATTTCTCCTAAATCTTAAAACAAAGCAATCCCATGTTGATTATAATTTTGAGTTAGTGGCTGTGTATTCTGCTACAGCTACAAAGAACATCAGTTAGTTTAAAGTTTAATCCAACATGTCAGTATCTCTATCATTATTTATACTATTTGTCCCTTAATTCTTTTATAAGGCACTAGAGAAGAAAAAGATAATTATGAATGATAGTGAATTACAAAGTTAATTTCAGGATCAGAGAACTAAATCCATTTTATTGTCTTTCTAACTGCCATCGAGTTAGAACGTGTAATCCTGTTTAGATTTAATCTCCGAGTGATTTTCCCATTATGCTGACCATTATTATTTTACTTTATCAATTGTGTGTTTCTGTCAAAATAAGTTTCCTACGTGTTTTGATAGTACAAGGGTCTACAATCCTCCAGACCCCCCAGGGTACTTTGACGGCCATGTGTGGCCCATGTATCTAAAGCACAGACGAGAAATGGAGGAGAACGTCACGTGGGAAATTGGTAAGTGCCTTTTCTTCCCCCATTCAAAGCCTTTTGCTTGTCTTTCATCTCAAAGTACAGAAAAGAAAGGTGATGTAGAAGATTATAAAGGGATACTTGAAGCAGAACACTCTGGGCTGCCCCTCTTACAGCCTGTTCTCCTAGTCTCTGTTTCTCTGTCTGTGGCTCTTGTGAAGGTCTGGACAGTTATTCATTCCACCAGCATTGAATGATGCCTTCCAGGTGCAAGGTGCTGCCCCGGAGCTCTCAAGTTGAGTAAGGCAGAACTAGCCCCAACCCTCATGCAAGTGACATTCTACCAGGGAAACAGGCATTACAGACATTAGCTGCACAACCATGTCCTTTCCAGCTGTGGTAAGTGCTGTGACACCAAGCTCTAGGGGACTGCCCAAATCCCAGTGGTAGGGGAAGACTTCCTTGAGGAAGCTACATTTAAACCAAACTTTGATGGGTGTAACTGAATAAAGGAAGGTGGGTTGAGGGGATGGAAGATCACCCCAGTTGCGGCAGGGCACACAAAAAGGCCAGGGGGCAGGAAGGAACGAGCAGCGCCTGAAAGAAAGCTGGTGTAGAGAAAGCTTTGTGGTAGGAGAAGCCAAGGGAGAGAATTGATGCTGAATAGGCAGGGTCCAGACCCTAAAAGGCCAGTAGGCCAGATAAAGACTTTGGTCATTGTCCTAAGAGAAGAGGGAAGCTCTCTACGGAGAGGTTTAAACAAGGACATGATTCATACAAATTCTTGTTCTGGTAAGCTCCCTCTGGCTGTGTGGAGGATGGACGTAGAGGGTGTTATATTGGATGCTTGCACTCAGTAGAACTGGGTGATAGAATAGCTACAGAGGGGGCGGGAAGATGACAGACACCTCAGCAACTGACAGGTGTTATTTCAGAAAACAGGAAAAGGCGAAGGAGTTGCAGATTTGTAAGGGAGGAATGCAAGTCTGTTTTGCACTTAAGGAGGTTGAGGTGGCTGAGAGACAAAATGTAGCAATTTGGATCTGTGGCCTGAACTAAGAACAGATGACTGGAATGTAGATTTCAATGCAGAGAAGATAGCAGAAGTCTGTTGGATAAGGCAAAAGAAGCAGAGCTGACATACACTTTTCACAGGAAAGGGGGTGTGTCCATATTGTCAGAAACCTGTTGACCTGCGGGACAGGTGGCTGTGTCAGAGCTGAGCAGAAAGCACAGGGAGCTCATCCCCTGGTCCAGTGCTCCGGTTCTGGCTGCACCAGTTCCAGCTTGGGCCATGGGTTACAGGGATGTCCTCTTGCTGCCTTTCTCTCCCTTTTCACCTAAAATGCAAATCCGACCGTGCTCCTGTGCTGCTTGAATACGTTCAGTGGTCTCCGTGTCTCCGGGATAGCATCCAAACAGCTAGACATCGAGGCCTCTAAAGACTAAGGCACGGCCTTGGTCCAAAATCTCATTTCTCACCTGTTGCTGCTCCCCTCCCCCCCACATTCTAGCCATTCCAAACTGTGCATCTTTTTCCTAACAGGCAAAGTTCTCTCGTACCTCTCTGCCATGTTGTTTTCTGACTAGAAGGCCCTTTCCTTCCTTTAACCTAGGTAACTTCTACTTTTTCTCTAAAGCTGCTTATGCCAGTTTTATTAAAAATACGTATCTTCTGGGTCTGGTGAGTTCTGATTCAGTATATATGTGGCAGAGCCCAGACCACTGCATGGTTTAAGAAGCTTCACAGGTGATCCTAATATACATGTTAGAGAATTACTCCCTTAAATGACCCTGTTGGGCAAGCACCTCTTCAGTGCTCCTAAAGTACTACATGCACAGTGCCACTTAACTCTCTTCTTTCTTTCTTTTCTTTCTTTCTTTCTTTCTTTCTTTGTTTCCTTCCTTCCTTCCTTCCTTCCTTCCTTCTTTCTTTCTTTCTTTCCTTCTTTCTTTCCTCCCTCCCTCCTTCCTTTCTTTCTTTCTTTCTTTCTTCTTTTTTTTCTTTTCTCTTTTACTTAAATAATTGTCACATAAGCCAGTGTGGATTTATCTGTAACAAATAAAAACTTTTGACCTATTGTACCTGGCTGTGATCTATTTCTTTAATTGCTATTAATTTCTTTGAAGGTATGGTCCTCGGTTCTTTGGTTAAACCTGTTGGTATTTGTGGGAGATGTCAGGTGCTAAGGTAAACATCCTATGTTAATAAGCCTGTTAGCATTTAAACTGCCCTCTTTTCCCATTCTCAGTTTACCTAGATGGAACGAAATCTGAAGAAGACCTCTTTTCACAAGTATATGAAGATATAATACAAGAACTAGCAAAGCAAAAGTGTAAGTATTGTGCTATCAAAGTGGATAGTGGAGGAATAAAATAGTTCATTACATGCCCAAGAATGGCATACCAGAATGCTAATGTAGGAGTGATTGTATTCATTCATTCTTTGCTTTGAGGATAATTTAGAATCAGAAATTCTGTGTAGGTTTGGAGACTTGATTATTTTGTTTGTCAATTCTTATTGTTGTTGTTGGAGACAGAGTCTCACTCTGTTGCCTAGGCTGGAGTGCAGTGGTGTCATCATATTAATAGCTCACTGCAGCCTTGAACTCCTGGGCTCAAGCAATCCTCCTGCCTGAGCCTCCTAAGTAGCTGGTACTGTAGGCACATGCCACCATGCCATGCTAATTTTTTATTTTTTGTAGAGGTGGGGATCTCACTATGTTTCTTAGACTGGTCTTAAACTCCTGGCCTCAAGCGAGCCTTCCACCTTGTCTTCCCAAAGTTCTGGGATTATAGGTGTGAGCCAGTGTGTCCAGTCTGTTAGTCAAGTTTTTGGGGGTGAAACTATTTACCCTTTGTTATATCTCTTAATGATATTTATGTTATTTAGTTTAAAGTTTTTAGTGGATGGCTGTCCCCAGTGGAGTGGAATTATCATTTGGGCATAGTGATATTAAAATGCTGATGATTTTGTTTTAATACATCTTGGAGTGCTTTTTTTCTTTTATTCCCTTAAAGATTTTCCATAAAATTTCTATTTTCCAAATAGCTCAAAAATAAACACAAGATTTAAAAAATTATTTATGGAGTGTTTCTTTAAGGTTTTCATATTGGACAACACTTCTTGCAAGTGATAGAAATCCACCTAAATCTGCCTTAAGCAAAAAGAAAGTACAGGGGTGATAGTGACTTCGGGCTCAACTGGTGTAAGGAGCTCAAATAGGGTGCTCAGAGTTCTGTCTCAGTTCTGCTTTGTGTTTGGGTTTATTCTGAAGTCAGGCCCTCTCCGCTGACAGATGTGATGTCTGTTGGCAACATCGTCTTCCTCCTAGGTCTGACAGCCCCAGTATAAAAAGAAAGTTTATCCTTTTTAAGGATTGTCTATGAGTTGATAAATGTTGGAACTGGGTGTTAAGTATAAGGAGGTTCATGGTATTCTCACTTCTTTTGCATGTTTAAAATTGTTTATTTTAAACAGATTTTTAAAAAGCAGTTTTCCATTTTAGTCCAGATGAAAAGTCCCAGAGAAGACATTGATTGGTCCTACTTGGGTCACATGACTCAATCACTATTGCTAGGGAGATGACATACTCTGATTGGCCAGGACTAGATCATGTACCCTATCTTTTAATTAAATACTCCACCTAGGACCTCCTGATTTAAAACGTTTCCCAAAGGGAAATCAGGGCAGGAGCTAGAACCTAGAAGGAGGAGGATGAAAAAGCATGCTGGAAGGACAAAACTATAGATCTAGCTGCTGTTATATTTGAACTATTTGGATTAAAAGGATTTCCGTGGCTAACATGAGCAAAATGCAATCATCAGCTGGCTCAAGAGAAGACGGTGTGACTCACTCTAGCAGTGAAGAATTTCATATGGTTGTTTAGGTGAGAAGCAACTGCCCTAGTCCAAATGTTGTCACCTCTCAATAAGAATTAGATTCTTATCTTACATCTTCAATAAATTACTCTTTGCCCAACTAGGCACTTCATTGATGCTAACCACTCCTAATTTCAGGATCAGCCCTTCATGTAGGCATAAACCCATTTGAAGAAATTTCAGAACCACTTTAAAATTTCTTCTTGCAAGTGGAATTTATAATCCTTTCCATATATGCCCACCCACCCCTGCCATCTGTTACTCTGATGAAAGACAGGCCTCCCGTAATGAAGCTCAGAACACTGACATGAGTAGATGTAAGAGGGTGTGAGGGGGAGGAGGGGAGCAGCCATCCTAAATGATACCACATAAGCCAGAGCCACTTCTCTGAGAGTTATTGGCCCCCCTTTCTGGCACTAATGAGATGATTCTGGGGGTGTTTCAGCTGCTGGACTTCTCTGTCTTCTCAGTAATGGTAAGTGCTAGGGTCCAATTCTCCTCTAGTGACTAAGTCAAACCCTGGAGTTTGGCCTTATGGTCTACTGACTGATAAAGATGAAAGGAGCCCTGGTTATGTAGTTCAGGTAAACTGCATCCAGTTCCATTTCCAATCCTGCCTGGCCATGTGTTCCAAGGCCCAGGAACAGCCGGCATGTTTTGATGGGTGCTGCAAGCCCCTAAGAAAGGACATTTCCATATATGTGTGACAAACCTCCTTTTTCCTTGTCTAGAGGGAGGTAAGGAAGTATTCAACTATGCCATTTTAGGCTATCTTGCTTATGTTCTCGATACTGGATAAAGTTACAAAACAAAACAAAAAGAATAACAAATATTAGAAGAGGCATAAAATTGGAAGCAGATCAGCTTTTCCTACCTCCAAGATTTATGTTAGTTTTACTCAGTTGCATAAAGTACTGTTTTATTTGTAGTAACCCATCACCTTTCCTAGTTCTTCCGTCCACAATATCCTGGCAAAGCTGGCCTGAGGAATCTTAGCATAGCCTTGTTTAACCCTAGTATGACACTCAGCTAGCAGAGGAGGCCTTTCAGATGTTGCCAGTAACTACTGTTCAAGTCTTCTCTCATAATATCTCATGAATCTGTTTAGATAATTTTTCATTCTAAGTATATAAAATCATAATTATGATAAAGTAATAATGAAAGGGAAACAAGAAAGATTGAATTTAACTTTTTTCTTTATTGATACATAACATTTTATATTCATGGGGTGCATGTGAGTGCTTTCTATATGCATAGAATGTGCAGTGATCAAGTCAGGGTATTAAGGTGTCCGTCACCTTGAGTACTTATCATTTGTATGTGTTGGTGACATTTCAAGTTCTCTCCCAGTCTGCTATCTGCTATCAAACATTAGAACTTATTTCTTCTATCTAACTGTAAGTTCATACCCGTTCACCAACCTCTCTTCATTTCCCCCTCCCACCCTCACACCCTTCCCAGCCTCTGGTATTTATCCTTCATTCTATATCTACATGTGATAAGCTTTTTTTAGCTCTCACATATGAGTAAGAACATATAGAATTTGTCTTTCTGTGCCTGGGTTATTTCATTTAACATAATGACCTCCAGATCCAACCATGTTGCTACAAATGACATGATTTCATTCTTTTTTATGGCGAAATAGTATTTTATTGTGATTATATGGCACGTTTTATTTATTCATCTGTTGATGGACACTTAGGTTGATTGCCTACCTTTGCTATCATGAATAGTG